ATATTTGTGACAAATCTACTTTTTAATCAGTTACATATCAGTCATTATTCAGTTTCAGTCCGTTTTTAATTTTGTTATGTTACATAGGCAACAGCATCTGTACTGCCTGGCAATTGTTCAGACCTCTGACTGTTGAAGTTCATCATTTCAGTGTCAAATTTTAGGCCAGAAGTGCTTTACAAGTAGAATACAGCCTTGCAAACTTCTTTTCTTATGCTGATGCTGGATGTGCAAAAATATTGTACTGCAGTTCTATAAGCTACGCTGTTTATATGTCATTATCAAACAGCCGTAAGCAATACTTTTTATGTTATGTAAGTAAAGCGAGAGTGGACGAAGGTTTTTAGAGTTGAAGGGGTTAAGGTTTGGGTTTGGATGGGGGCTGCTGATCCTGAATCAGTGTAAAATTAACCATCCTCTTCTTTTTTTCTTCTTCTTCAGGCCTGAGTTCCCCTCCGTCTCAGAGTGTGCCAGTCATTAACAGTGTGTCTGGACTGACCACTCTGCAGCCCATGCAGTTCCCTCACAGCTCCGGCCTCACACCCCTCACCACTGTGCACTCCTCACAGCAGCCCTATACACACTCACACAGTGAGTATGCTGCACATGTCTGCAGATACATGCTCTTTAGAAACCTGCACTACTGCTCCAAATTTTTTTTTTCAGAAAATATGAAATTATTCTAATATGGTGATGGTAATATGTGACTACATATAGTGGGGTTCAAAAGTCTGAGGTCACATTTGTAATTAGAATATTAGAATTTTTCATTTCAACCAGGAAATAAACAATGAAAAGTTTTAGAATTTTGAAACATTTAAAACAAAGTTATGACAATTAAAATTATTCGCTATTTTTAGGTCTCTGTTCAAATTTAAGCAAATTTGTTATGCTGGCCATGTTAAGGCCTTTGTACAGAAAGCTCAGCTCTTCCATTTAAGCCTGTGTTCAGAGGACTCTCAGGTGAATTTGGTCTAGTCATCAGAGACTTTTGCACATGCTTGTGCCGTTCATGCCATCATGAGTGCATGGTGTCATTATTCAAAACAGAAGGAGATCAAATAGTAAGAAATTCTAAAATTTATATAAATATTTAAAAGATTTTACTTTTAATGCAAGTTGTTATGCTGGTAATATAAACTAAAGAAAAAAATATTATTTTAGAAAAAATGTCAAAAAATAGAATAGTTTTCTGTATTGGTCTCAGAGTTTTGGACCCCATTGTATGTTGCAAGTAATTTATAAAATAATAAGACATTGTAGATATGTAGATGATTCTGAAATGATTAGCTGCATACCATTGAAAATAAAGTTACAATAAATTTATCGTCCTGGACAGAATTCCTCCTATTTTAAAACCTGATGATTAAATCTTGAGGTAGAAAACCTGACAGGAAATTAAATACATCATTACTGTATATTATTTATTATTGTCGTTGATTAATTTCTTGTTCCATTTTAATCCACACTGTGCAAGTTACGATTGAATAAAGTAACAAATATGACTTTCTATATTAATATGACAAGTGATTTCAAACTTTTGAATGGCAGTATTGACTTTTTGAAGAGTTGACATTTGACTCCCTTTTTGGTCCCTTCCTCAGTGTACTCCCCCAAGCAGGAACCTCCTCAGTACTCCCACCCAGCTCGATTCTCCTCCATGGATACAAGCACTATCACTCATCTGGGCTCTAACAAGCAGGTAACTCTCTTTTAGCTTGACTACTTAAGCTCTCACTGCTCCAAGCTTTACACTTTCAAAAGACAAGACGTACCTGCTCACACAGCAGAGCACTTAAATCATCTGCTCAAGTAAATATATGTGTCAGTTCAGCCTTTTGTACCACATTAGTACACAGTGGTTGGGTTGTCCTTCTCTGTGAGCATAATATATAGGTTCCTGAATGTGATGACGTGACCTGAACCCGTACTTAAATAAGAGTGTCGTCGTTTCGATGAAATAATTATTCAAGTAAAAAATTTGATTATTAAAATTAACTGGAGTAGATGTCAGAGTTCTATGTTAACAAAAACGCCTTGAGTACAGAATCAGAATCAGAATCAAGCTTTATTGGCCAGGTATGCTTACCCATACAAGGAATTTGGTTTTGGTTACAGGAGGTCACAGTGCACAGTATCAGACGAGACATTTACATGTAGTGAATAAAATGAAATAAAATAAAATAAAATAAAATGAAACATGCATTCCTACCATCACTCACTCACACACACACACACACAGTCATACCTGTAACAGATATTTTAGGGTACTGAGTATCCTAAAACTTCTTAGCACATCAAGCATCTATGAGCATAGAACCTTAAGGTTGTAAGGTACTGTTCTTCTTTTTCTTAATCAACAGAGCACAAAGAAATTAAACACAAAAAGGGAATTAATAGTTAAATGTGAATGGCTAAAGTGGAACAGAGTAAAAGGTGCATTACATTTTACACACAAATACACTTTGAATACCATATTGTCATATGAAAAAGAGGCACAGAATTTATTTTAGTATATTAAATGGAATAAATATAAACTTATGGAAACTTCTGTGGGTATGTAAAACATTTAGGACTCTGTATAGTATTGTTTTGTTCAATGTGAACCTCTGAATTCAATATGAACAAGAATCGAGCAATACTTTTGACAAATTGGAGCAAAGAAAGTCATTTAATACTGCAGTATTTTGCATGAAGTATTATAAAAAATTTAACAAGCAAGCCCCCCCTGGAAGCTGTAATAACCACAAAGAGTGGAAGCACTACATACTAAAATATATGTAGTTGTTGAGACTTGTGTGTCGTTTTCTGTTAAATAAATATTTTCTCCTTTATTGTAATTTTGTCCCATTTTGACGGAAAAATTAAATGAACAGTGGTCTCTGACCTTTGCACAGTGTTGTATATTATCTCAGCATTATGCATTATAATAAAATATTGTACTTTTATAATGTTTAATGCTATTAAAAACATAGAAACATTAACTTGTAAACATACATGAAAATGCACATTTTCAAGCTTGCCTCTTACCTTATTTTTGCAGTATCTGAAAACATATTGAGTCGAGGCAGCATTGAATAGTACAGAACCAAATTGTGAGATTTGTGAATAATTATACCCCTGATAGCAAAATATGAAGTGATTATGTTCACCACAGGCTATTGTAACCCTCTTTTCCTTTGCTCTAGTGCCCTTTGCAGGCTTGGTGAGAGTGCACACCTGTGAAAGACCTTCCTTGGCAGCTAAGCAAGAGGAGTGCCTTAAGCCACAGTAGACACTGTGACTTCTCAAAAGAACGACTACAGTAGATGACAAACCAGGAATATTGAGTCATATGTTGATTTTACTAATGAGGGGACGATGCTGTGAGAACCTGCTGAAACATTTCGATAATTGAGCCCAGTAGCCTAATTGATCAAGGCATTTTCTGCTCAACTTTTCAAGAAATTTAAATCTAAGGATGCTCATTCACCCTCTCTGCTGACCAGTCTTCATCGTCTACTAAACATTTACAGAGACCTGAAACAAGACTCCTGTTTAAAAGGGTGCACACAAGTGATCATCGACCTTCTGAAAAAGACTGCATGGAGCTGTTCTCCGACCATCAGACCGTTAACTCTGTGGATGCTGCAGCCACCATGAATCATCTCAGTTGAAATTCTCTGTATAAGAGGCTCCTCCTCCATATTTTCCTGTTAAGTTTATCTTGACGGTGAAATATGGATTGTGACGAGGTCAAGCAAGAGAACGTAATGGTCAATTTACAGACAGTTTTTTTCTTTTTCCCAAATCGCAAACTCTGATATATGTAGTCTGATTCTTATTTTTTTATGAAAATCATTTCTGTGTAACAAATTCCAGATATTTTCAGGATACAAAAATGCCCCATTGACTGTTTTTGCCAAATAAGATCATTCAACAAGATGCAACTGTAATTGTCTCTCAGGGACTGATTTTACACCACCCTGTTGTGGAATTGTGAAAATGTGTTGCCTTAATAATGTTTTTAGTGTGTGTAAATTCTGGAATCATTTGAATCATATTTATACTGTTGTAAAACATTGTGTATATTGAAATTATTTTTAAAGAACAACACTAAAAGTGGAATGCTTTATTTTTGGCAGAGAAATGCAAAAGATGTACAACTCTATAGACAACATCTAGTTTAAGTAAGATGAGCACAGTGGCAGTAGATTGAGAGATTGTGAGATGGGGTGAGAGGATAGGGCGTATGTTTTCTTTTCCAGATTGACCCCATTAGGTCTATTTCCTCTGTCTTGGCCTTGTGGTCAGAAGGCATGAAAACTCAGTTGAGTGGCCACCATGAGGAAGTGAAGAAGTCATTACGCTTGTCCTTTCATCATGTGACCTTTCTGGAGTGTGATTCAAATGTGCATTTTCCCAAGGGAAAAGAGCCAAAGCTACTTACTGTAACCTGGAGGAAAAAGTGTACTTTTATAGATGACCACAAGCTCTACTGCACCTCTAAATCACCAATAAGACACCAACTTTAAGGTTTATGTCAGAATTTGTATTTGGTATTATGCATATTTGGTGTGTTTATTACACCGTTTTTTGAAAATTGAACAAAATTGTCACAAAAATAAAACATCTTAAATACATAGTATTTTATTGATTTATAAACATATGTTATGAACAGTATAGAGATAATAGACTAGTATAAACTATGCAACAACACAAAACTAAATTATATTACATGCTTTAACATACTATTTAGCAGAAAGCATCTTAAGCATCTTAAAATATACAATATGCTGTATTTTCTGGTTATTTTGATTCCTTTACTGTTTTGTTTTCTCACTTCCTATCAGCAGCTTTTTTTAATTAATCTGAAATGTTTTTAATGGAAAAATCTGCCTGTCAGAGTTAATAATGAAGGAGAACATAATGTCTGCAATAATGAAGAACTACTGTTCATACAGTCAGCAGTCAGAGGGCACTCTCAGAGAGACAGACAGTGAATAAGACAAAGGTGTAGATCCTCACAATTTTACTTGCTTGCATAAGTAAAGCAGTTTCTGAAATATTCTGGAGTATTCAAAGAAGACATAAAGGTGTGGCCATGGATAACATGAATAATGCACATTGGTGTTGTACAGTTAAGAAAGTTTAAAATATAAAAAATATAAATGATGTGGAAGCCACAATCAGAGATTTTTGAACAGTAACAGCTTCTACTCATAGGGTCGTTTTGCTGAACAGGGATTAAGGCTGGACTACACAGCCTGGACTATATAGCATTCTAAATGGAGATTCCCTATTGAATGGAAAATGTAGTCCAAAATTAGGCTTTTCTGAAGGACAGCAGGAATAGATCAAGAAGCTCTAAAAGTAGACACAAATAGCTCATTGAAAACAGAATAAACATTTTCCAACATTTTACTCTCTTTCGAGCGTCTATATGCCTCAAATATAGACTTTTAGACAATGTTCTAAATATGTGCCATGGTAGAACATAGGTGGCAGAACACCAGCAGTTTGAGTTACTAGTTTGAAAGATAATGAAAATTGAGAACCTGCTTGTTGTAAATTTCCCAACAATTCCAAGAAAGTAGTTCAGACAGCGGTGACAGTTTTCTTCTGTATTCTCCAGCAGTGCAGAGAGAGCAGTTATTATAACCTTCTGTGTAGAGAAAGGGAGTCAGGATGGAGGTCAATAGAGGTCAAAGCAGAGGCGTAAAGCATAGAGGCCTGCTGTTTGAAGAAGAGACACCAAGTCAGCTCCTTCTGGACCCCCTTTAGATTCAGAAGCCTGTAAGATGCTGCTGACATAGGTCTTGTTACTCCTCCTTATTATTCCTAAAACAATGAGACAGTGTTTCAGAACATTTCATTACATTTCACTGATTAGGCTACAGAAACAGAGGACTGATGTTTGACAACTGAACAGTTACCTTCACATTACAATCCTTGATGTAAGACTGTTCTTCTCCAGAAAGAATAATGTTCTGCTTGTCTGCGTCTTCCTTGGTCTCTAAAGCCTGTCTCAGTTTCTGCCAGAAGACCCTGGTATCATCTCCAGGTTTGGGCCATTTAAGGTAGGTTTTCTTCTTCACCAGCTTACGCATTTGATAGTAAGGAGACAGATGGCAGGTGTGAATATCCTCCAGGAATACCAGGATCAGCACATCCTTCTGATCATTAAAAAGCCTGAAGTTAGCCATCTGAATTTCTTTGGAACACCAGTTGCTCCTCAAGTAATTGTGGGTGATCAAGCAAATGGTCTTACGACTGCTGTATATTCCGTCCATGATGTTGTCCATGATGGGTCTTCCTGGCTCAAAGTCTCTGTAATGTAGACACAGTCTCCAGCCCTGATCACCCTCCAGATTGGGCACTAGCTCCTCAACAACCCATGGTTCATCTTGGGCGTTGTAGGAAATAAAGGCATCATACTGGAACTCATGTTGGTGGTGCATCTGTTTCTTCTTGCTGTCATACACAAAGGCAAGGAATAGGTAGTATGCATAGATCACTTGCCAGTACAGGAAGTGATGGACAAAAGAGACCAAAAGGGTGATGATGACAACAGCAGAGCTGCAGACAAAGCAGATAAAATCCACATTCACACTACAAGAGTCAGTATTGAGGTCTGCAAGGTACTTGCCTCTTAGTGAAGGTGGGTAGCTGCAAGCGTACTTGCTCAGGTAGACAACCTGGGTATTGTTATTTTTCATAGCCCAGTCAATGAAGAAAGCATTGCTACAGTCACAAGTGAAGGTGTTTTTTTCCAGGTCAAGGTACCTCAGCCGAGGCAGAGACTGAATCAATGTCTTGTTGATGACATCTAGTGTATTTTCAGAAGCTCTTAAGACTGACAGTCTGGAGAGGTTTGCATCTAACAGGAAATTGAGGGAATGAAGCTGAGACCTTTTGAGGATGAGCTTTGTCAGCTGCTGTATGGGATGGAAAACTTCTGCAGAGATTGACTGCTCATTTCCAAATGCATTCTTTGAGAGGTCCAAAAACCACAGTTTAGGGGTGGAGTTAAACGTATCGGGATGCAGATATTGAAGGTCCATGCTTCCACCGTAGAACATTTTCAAGGAGCTTAAACCTTGAAGCAGGTTTGAAGGTATTTTACCTACACCCCGTCGTTGACTATGAATAGACAGAATTTTGAGTGACTTTAAATGTACAAAAGGAGGTAGGTGCAACGTAGTTTCCTTAAATTGAATGAAATTGCTGAACAGCTCCAGCAGTTCTAACTTAGGCATGCCTAAAAACACTGTTGGATCTTTTTTAATCGTGTCCTCTGTTATCCTGTTTGAAGAAAGTTGCAGATGAGCTAAGTTTATAAGCCCTGAGAATGCTTGGCCTTCAATCTCGAAAATCTGATTGTTAGACATGTCCAAGACTCTAAGATTAGACAAACTCTTGAATGTTCCATTTGTGACTGCGCTTAACTTATTGTTTGCCAGTTGTAGCTCCATCAAGGATTGTGGGCCATGTTCGAAAGCACTGCCAATAGTCAATAAATGATTAGTTCCCAGCTTTAGGATTTCAAGATGCTGCAAATCTTTGAACAGGCAGGATCTAATTTCCGAAATTCTGTTGCCGTACAAGTAGAGGTGGGTCAGCTGTGTCAAATTGGTAAAGTCATAACAGCTTAGCTTATCAATTCTGTTTCTACTCAGGTCTATAAACTCAAGTGTTGGGATCATTTGAAATGAATTGTTGACCTGGGACAGTCTATTGAGCTGTAGTTGCAGTTTCCTTAGCTGTGTTAGTCCTTTGAATACAGGTGCAGAAACAATAGATATTTCATTATCAGCTAAGTCTAGCTCTGTCAAGTTGAAGCAGTGTTGAAACATATAATTGGTCAGCGTTGAGATGTTGTTGCCCTTCAGACGTAATACGTTAAGTTCAGGTGAGCATGCAGCCTGTAGAAGAGCTTCTACTTTCACCCCCTTGATTTCATTTAATCTTAGCTTATTCAGTGAAGCCCAAGATGAGTTCTGAAGTAATGCAGTTATGCTCTCCCCTGGAATGTGGACCCCACTCAAGTTAAGTGTTCTTACTGAATTCAGAAAGGCCTTGTCTGTAATGTTCCACAGCATTGATGTATTTTGACCACAGTGTGACATATCAAGGTAGTCTAGAACAGAGAAAATGTTGTCCGTTATTTGGAAGGTAGTCAAAGGATTGTTAGAAAAATCCATTTTTGTCACTGTCAGTGATCTCCTTGACAGCTCATATGAGTTAAATGTGTCAAAACCGTTGCTTCCAACCAATAATTCTTCCAAACTTGGTGATGCAAGCACAGGTTGGACTCTGTGAATCTGCTGGAGCTTATTTTTTGTGAGGTTCAACACCTTTAAACTGGAAACGGTGTTGAAAGCATGTGGGTCGATGCTTTCAATTACATTACCATCAAGACGAAGCGCCTGCAACTTGGTTAGTCCCTGCAGCAGACCTCCTGACAGCCTTTTCAGCCTATTGTTGGCCAGATTAAGATTGGTCAAATTGGGAAAATGTTGAGATGTACCGTCTTGTATTCTTGAGATGTGGTTGTTCGATGAGTTCAGATGACTCAAGTTCCAAATGTCCTCAAAGTCTTTGACTTGGATTTCTGAAATGGAGTTGAAGGAAATGTCTAAATATTTGACCTTGTTGGGTATCTCTGCAGGAACCTTAAAGAAGCCCATTTTGTAGCATAGAACTTTCAACTGGAAAGTCTCATCTTGAACCGTGCAATTCTGTAAAGAAAATGCACCAATCTGGACAATCAAGATGCATAATGAGAAAACAGTTCGTGGTATGTTAATGCTTGAACATTTTGTAGGATTTCCTGCCATTCTTGAACAAGATGGGCTGCTCTCCAGCCCTCTTCTTTAAGGCTTCTTCTTAAATATGGGTCCTGCTTTTAAAATTATACCAGATCCAGCAGATTTGATTTGGAGAAGAGAGCCCACCTAGTCTGAAAAATGACAGTGTCAAGCATGGCCACATGTTGCATCTGGACAGCATAATGATATTCATAACAATAAGCACTGTTTTAGGCAAACCACCAGCTTGTTGAAGTATTAAAATATGTCTGAAACAGGACGGAAATTATTCTTTTGTCTTTTACTGTGACTTCTGTCTACAAATTAGGAGATGTTAGCTAATGTAGGAAGTGATGCTTCCACATACACGACTTTGCTACTGACGAAGGTCCATGCATGCAAAATTCCATTCTGTTGCAATGTCATCATTCTCAATAACATCCTAATCTAACCACACTTTAAAATAACACACACACACACACACATCATCTAAACTGCTTATCCTTCTGGGTTGCGGTGGGATGCTGGAGCCTATCCCAGCTGTCACTTTAAAATAACAGAAAATGTGAAATATAATTAGAACTTATAACTTTTTTAACTTTTTAACCATTTTTATACTTCACAGACACTGTTTTGCATTGTTTTGCATTGCTTGATGCAGTCACTTTTTCTTGGGAAAAAAATACTGACAGTAATGTATCTGTTATTAATTATAGACAGATAGGCTTATAATAGCAATTTGACTAATCAGTTGCAGTATGTAGTAAAGACACATAAACTGATCACATACCTTCTGCTCGATATCTCTTCATGTGATCTCCTGAGACTGTTTCAGCAGTGAGGAAGTGTGGTCAGCTACTTTGAAGCAGAAGTGAAAGTATTTTTCGAGCTAATGAGTCAAGGTGGAAAATTCACTCCCAGGCTTGAATGACAGTTGTCCCACCCGCATTTCAAATATTAAAGGGTCTATGTCCACTTATGATGTGTCTATGTACAAAAACAGCCATGGTTCATTTTACATGGCCATTTTCTAAACTCTCTTTATCCCTCAGAATTAAACAGTATGTGTTTGTTACTGTGCCCTTAAGACTGAAATATGTAAATGGATCCAGATCTAATTGGCTGCTCTGTATTGTGCCACATTTTAAATGCATTCTAGGCTGAAACGCTCCTCATAACTTCAGTGTGATTGTGCAGGTCTAACCTGCTGTCAGCTGAATAGGTGCATAAATGTGGATGCGTTAGTTTTTGTGGCATCACAAATGCAGTAAATTCAAAATGGACTGTTTTTGCAGTTTAATTTTCATACATGAACCGTACAGACTGGGTAGCGAATGATATGTTGGTAGGAAACTTTAACAACGTTGACATAATACATCAAACTCATTTCAAAAAGAGAGGGAAATTTGGTTTTCCATCATATGGGCCCTTTAAAGTAATATGTCAGTAAATAAATACTAACTAATGGAAGATGGAGTTTTATTTGTTGTAGAAGTCTGAAAATTGAAGAAGAACAATAAAAACTGTTAATTTTAAGTGACCTCATCATTAGCTGTCTTTTTACCCATAACCTGTGATTTACTGTGTAACACGGTGGTCTTTTATTGCTCTGTTTGTAATATGTGCTTTGTGTGTCTGTACGTGATGGTCAGGGTCTGGTGTCCTAACACTGCTGTACGTCACTTTCAGGAGATGTCTGTAGAAGCAGCGCACCCACGTGGACATCAGGGGTACTTCAAAATGTCTAATAATCAATCACCGAGCTGCGCTTCAGGAAGGCTCTGGAATAGATTAGTTAGGCCTTTCCCCTTACATCTGTATCGTGACTCAATGGACGCGGTGGACCTGTTCAGAAAGCTCGGAGCTGGAGCAAAGTTTGATTTCAAGCGATTTGGGAAAGATGCAGAAAGGTTTAAGGTGACGACTGTGTGTCTTTTTGCCTCTTCGTGTAAATATTGTCATGAATGGTAGCTTTTTTGTTGAGGTGCTGGCGTTTTGCATGAACTTCAGTTGCTAGCAAAGTCTGTTAGCCGCGGCTAACACGTTTAAAATCCTTCGTTAAAATGTAGCTTAGTGGCTGCATGGACACATGGCTTGAGTTAGCCAGACACCCAGATAGATGCTCGAGAACTGCTCAGCCAGCCAGTCAGTAAAGTTAAACAACAGTCATTTAGCGATGTAGTGAAAGTTTGTTTTCATTTAGCAAAGGCGGGGAGAACACTGTATAAGCCACACGTGGCTAGTAAGCAAGGCTAGCTTGCTGGCTCACAGTGGGAGTAAACAGTCACGTTACAGGACTTTTTATCCTTATCAGACACTAATTTGATCAAAAAAAAAAAAAACACAACACGTCTCCTAATGCCAGTTGTCTGTAGCCCATTTTCAGCCCTCACCGTTCAGCCGTAACATTGAAACCACCTCCTTGTTTCTACAGTCGTTGTCCATGTGTGCCCACAGGACCGCAGGTACTATTTACTTGGTGGATCATTCTCAGCACTGCAGTAACACTGACATGGTGGTGTGTGTGTTGTGCTGGTACGAGTGGATCAGACACAGCAGTGCTGCTGGAGTTTTTAAACACTGTGTCCACTCACTGTCCACTCTATTAGACACTCCCACCTTGTTGGTCCACCTTGTAGATGTAAAGTCAGAGACGACAGCTCATCTGCTGCTGCACAGTTTGTGTTGGTCATCCTCTAGTCCTTCTTCAGTGGTCACAGGACGCTGCCCACAGGTTCTCAGTCCGGCAGCAACACTGGGGTGTTTAAAACTCCAGCAGCACTGCTGTGTCTGATCCACTCAGACCAGCGCAACACACACTAACACACCACAGTGTCACTGCAGTGCTGAGAATGATCCACCAGCTAAATAATACCTGTTCTGTGGTGAGGAACAGGGTTAAAGGGGACTTACAAAGTATGCAGAGAAACAGGTGAACTACAGTCTGTAATTGTAGAACTACAAAGTGCTCCTATATAGTAAGTGGAGATGATAAAATGAACAAGGAGTGTACAAACAAGGAGGTGGTTTTAGTGCTATGCCTAAGCAGGGGAGTGTTCTGTAATTCTGTGGATAAAGTAGGCAAAGCAGTTTGTTTATGTTGAACATTTCATATACAAAGGCAGTGCAAGAAGCTTTTCATGAATAAAAGCAGAAAAACATTTCTATCTAAAGACAGAATGCTTAACTGCAAAATAAGAAAATAATAAATAAAATGTACAATATTACTCAAGCCTTTCCAGCACCTTTCGTGAGGATAATCACCATCTGTAAGGTACTAATCAACCCACATAATAGCAGCCTACCATTTAGCCTACAAGAGAGTTGATTTAACCTAGGATAATAGTTATACTTTAGCCTTTGCCAGCACTCTAGAAAGAGACCTTTCACTGAATTAACGTCAGCCACAACTAGTTATGCTTTGAAGTGATACAAAAAAGTCTCTAAAGAAGTAATCCTTCCTTGGGATAACAGGGTTAGCCCATAAACCTTAGATAACAAATGCACATTTACACTATATTCATTATATATTTTCCAGCGTCCTAAGTAAGGAAGATCATCACTAAGTTATACGTCATAGTAAAACAAGTTGATCAGCCTTGGGACAACAATGCTAGCATCTTCCAACTTCCAAATGAGTTCATTAATTTTAGGATTAAAAAACACTTTTCATTGTTAGATGTTAGATTAACCCCCTTAGCACATTTCTAAAGAAGATAGAGCAAAATGATCAGGGATTGAGTAATAAGGTGATAAAAGTGCAATTACTTCAAGAAAAGCAAAATAAAGACAGCATACATACACATTAGATATATAAATTACCAAAAAAGGACATTGACTACAACAAAACAACAATAATGCAGAGAATGTGAACATTTTGGTCAATGATTTCACAATAGATGGTTTTCCACACTGTCCCATCACTAGTCTAAATGTCCTTTCTTTTCCTGTTGTTTGTGCGGTTAAACAGGTAGCGAGGTCTCAGAGCAAAGACGTTTCTAAGCCCTTAGAGGGGTTTAACTTCTTTGGCATCAACACCCGAGAAGAGGCAGCTGTACACGATGATGAGAACGAAGAAGAAGAGTCAGAAGAGGAACAATCTGCTGTCACACAAAAACGGAAACATAGCAACAAGGATGAATCGTTGAGCAAACCGAGGAAGAAACAGAAAGCGAATAAGGAAGAAACTAATAGTGAGAGCCAGTGTTTATGACAGTGTTTGACACTTCATGCCAGAACAGTTCATGCCATTTTATTCATTATCAATCTCTGACCTGCTGCTGTAGAATCTTAAATCAAGCCAGTGTTGAAAACCTGCTTGTTTAGATCTGCATTTGCTTGTCTTACTCTTACCTTATTGCTGTATATATTGCTACATAGATGCAGAAAACAAGACTGATGGTGGTGAGGAGGAAGAACTTGAGAACAGGGGGATTCAGTGGCTGTCATCACAAGACAAGAAGGCAAAAGGGCCTAAGACAAAGGCCAAAGACAAGCTCTCAATGAAGAGATTAAAACAGCTTCACAGTGAGAAGGTAGGAAAATCTCTGTCTTTCACTGTCTTTGTTTTTTATGATTACGAACAAGTTTTAGGGGATGTTTAATATCTTCAGCAGTATCTCAAACTAAGGATGGGCAGTATGATGATATTTAATGTTATCGTGATCAGTGATGTTACCGCAGCATATTGTGGATATTATTTAGTGAATGTAATACACTGACTAATTGAATGTTTCTTTAAAGAGAGCATCGTTAGTCCTTTTTAATTGTATTTAGTGCAGCCGAGTATGTGAATAAAAATGTGGCCGTAGTGGTTCTTTCCTGTCTGTTTCAACCTATCAAAGCCAAAAATAAAATATCATTATTAGGCCTGACCTAAGTTATTTGAATACTCAAGTACTAAAGTTATTTTAGTTTTCAGTTCTCTATTTAGTGTGCAGAAGGTTTGTAAGATTGTAGCCTAAAATAAATGTAATCAATAAAGGCCTTTAGATAGTAATTGTTAATATAAAAGTGTTAGAAATAAATTATAGCTGGTTTAATTGAATGCTTCATAAATTAATGACAACTATCCACATCACCTCAGAGCACAACAAACTGCTCCTCTCTCGACATAGCCAGTGAAGCTAAAAGATGGGTGGGAGCACTTTCAGTTATCAGACTATAAGAAAAATGCTCAGTGAAAAAATTGTGATAAGAGGCTGGTATACCATGAAAGCACAAAGTTTGATGAATCATCTCAAATATGCAAATATAGTGATCCTTATCTGAAAACCGCCACGCATTCAATCCACACTGCCTTCAGCTCAGCTCTGTCACACAGCTGTTTCAGGCAGGAAGATCAACAGCCCTAATTGTGATGTGTATTGTGGATTGTGTGTAAAATGTGTTCAAGTATTGTGATTTTTTTTTTTTAAATCATACTCCGTGTCCTTTTCTCTGAGACACAATCTATAAACATCATTCTTTTCATCTGATGAACCTGTGTGCTTGTTTTAACTAAATGTTTATTTCAGGTCAATCAGATCAGGCACAGTAACAGGATAAATGTGCATGGCACAGATGTCCCAGACCCTCTTAGCACGTTTGAAGAGCTTCAAAAGGAATATGGGCTGGACCCAAGGATCATTCAGAACATCAAAGCAGCAGGCTTCCAAACGCCCACACCCATTCAAATGCAGGCCATACCACTCATGATGCATGTAGGTTGATGTCGGTCAGTTATTTCTATATAGATAAAATGCTTTTAAATATTTGTCTGTGTTTATCATTTGTTATTAATCTGTTGTGAGTGAAGCAGAATTGCCAAGACTTTAGTACAGACTTAAGAGCACTGGTTCAGTTCATAACTAAACTGTACTAAAAGTACAGTTTACTTATGTTTAAAAATTCAGATAACATCTGGGATTTAACAGTTTTGTTCTCTTTGTTTCAGAGGCGAGAGATCCTGGCATGTGCCCCCACTGGCTCTGGTAAGACCATGGCCTTCTGCTTGCCCTTGCTGGTCCACCTCCGCCAGCCACTCAACAAGGGCTTTAGGGCCCTCATCGTAGCCCCTACCAGAGAGTTAGCCAGCCAGGTGAGATTTTATCACTGACAGTACAGTTTAATATAACTGCTTTCAGTTATTGGTAACACTTTAAAACTGTAAAACTGACTTGCATTTTTTCTTTGTTTGGTTGTGCACTTGCTTGTAGACGCACAGAGAGCTGCTCAAACTATCAGAGGGAGTGGGCTTCAGAGTTCACATGATCAACAAAGGAGTGGATGCAGCCAAAAAATATGGTCCCAAGTCAGCTAAGAAGTTTGGTAAGTCATCATTCCATAATCCTTCAAGAGTCAGTGCTGAGGAAATTATGTGCTGCTTGTTTATCAGACATGCAGACTTGTTGCCTTTTGTTTTGAGTGGTGCAAATGCCATTCACGTGAATCGTATAGGATGTTGTAGATCTGATGAGTTTTTGTCCTATTTTTGCAGGCCCTCTAGTGGTCATTACACTGACTCTAATATTTTTTATTAATATGATCAAATTAAATATCCCCCCCCCCTTACTCTGTTATCAAATGAACTAGGACACAAATCTCTGTGTGTGAAATATTGTGATTCTGTGTTGAGCTGCTAACGAGCAATAAGGGAGGAAAAAGGAGGGGTGAAAACTCCCTGCTGTGAAAGCTATTCACACCATTTCACACAAACAGCGATACCTAAATGAAACGGACAACATTACTTTAGCTTTCTTCATACCTTCAAGCCTAACAACTGCCACAATATTTATGTTCATTAAAAACACTTTTCCAATTGTTTCCTGCTTGCACATTTAAGAAAGGCGAAAATACAGTTTGCTTTTGTTTTTTGTTTTTTAATTATACACATTTCTATCTAAATATATGAGTTATTAAAGACGAACGGTAGCTAAAGAGAAAAATAGGTCAACTGAGGGACCTCCTCCAAAACAGGCCTTTTATGGCTACTAAAAAGGAGGTTATTTTGGGAAGGGCGGGATCTACTGAGGATCTACTAGAGTATTCTGAGGAGGAAAACCCTCCTCTTCCCCAAGCACAGCAGCAGTTTACACTAATTGTCAGGCCAACCCACAGATACAGTATTTGCTTTTGATTGGACAGTCAGAAATAAGATAATATTTCTAAAAAGTGAAAAGACAGCCTTGATTTGTAAGCAGTGAATTAATTTCATTATCTCACATTCAGATTTTGTTTTTCAATAGCTTTTAAACAGTGTCCAAAAAAGGCTAATAGATTATCATTAATTGCAACCAAGACAATCAGCTAACGCTTTACCTTTGTCTGAAATTGATTTTGTTAATTTCTGTGAACTGTGGATCATTATGAGAGCTTAGCAGCCCTCTACAAATTACTTTGTAAAAACCAGGCACCGGGGCCCTAGCATGAGATGTCGTTTTGAAGCCAGTAGAATATAAATATATAAATATAAAATATGTGCATAGTGGCCTTGTTTATAATAACGTCCCAAAAAGAAAGATGTCTGCCCAGTTTGTACAAATTTATCGTTAGACTTTGGTATGGTAAGCAACAGGTTTTTAACAAATACTTAGAAAACAGTGGGTTTTAGGACCTGACTTTACTTGGATTGTTGCATAGTAGTTGGACTCAATAAGCATTATAAATTAACTATAGAATTCCACAGTAATTACTGCTGAATTGTAGTCTCAGAATCAACCAGAATTATGGTAAAATCATTGTTGGACCCTGCTATAGGGAACGGTTTCTGAACTTTTGATCCTTTTTTTGACTGCTCATGAATGTTAATGTCTGGTTTATTTGACAAATCTAACCTTTCTTTCTCAGATATACTGGTGACTACTCCTAACAGGCTGATCTATCTGCTCAACCAGGACCCACCAGCTGTTGATCTCAGCAGGTGAGCTGCAAAAACAGATGCACAGTAATCACTGAATCAAACACTCTAACAGAACAGGCTCTTTATGCATGTGCTTATGCTTATTAAGCTGTATTTTTGTCTGTGATGCTGTTAAGGTTTAACTGTAAAGGTTACTTTGCTCTCTTGCTTGCAGTGTGGAGTGGCTGGTGGTGGATGAGTCTGATAAGCTTTTTGAAGATGGCAAAAGTGGCTTCAGGGATCAGCTGGCCACAATCTTCCTGGCCTGCTCCTCTCCAAAGATCTGCCGAGCATTCTTCAGTGCCACCTTCACCACGGAAGTTGAGAAGTGGTGCAAACTCAATCTGGACAACCTTGTCTGTGTTAACATTGGACCCAGGTACAGAAATGGATCTTTATTTTATATTAAGAACAATTAATTGATGAAGTTGATTAGTTATTGATTATGGAATAAAGGCAATGCGTCATTTACTTAGAGACAAAAGCGCCATAATGTTCTGTATCTCGTAATATACACAGCCGTTCAGACAGATTGCAATAAACTAAAGAAGGCGATATGTGTTTGTTCCACCATAATATAAGAAATGGCTTGTTGAACAGATGAAACTTTGAATGATGGCTATGTTGTGATGATTCCTAGGTTTTCTTGCTTATTTCTTAGTAACACCGGCACTATTTTGGCTTCTCTGATGTCTAATTTTATTAAGCTCATTTACCTGCCATGTTTCTGTCTGTAGGAACTCTGCTGCAGAGACAGTAGAGCAGGAGCTTCTGTTTGTAGGCGCGGAAAACGGCAAGCTGCTCGCCATGAGGGACTTGATTAAAAAGGTTGGCGAGATTTGAACATTTTAAAAATCAAGGAGAGAAGAATTAATAATAGCTGATGAGAAAACCAAAAGACACACATGCACAGAAATAGGTGTGCATTAAGAATTTTGGTACACATCATGGCCAAAAGTAAATGGCTACTTTACTATGGCTACTATGGCTGCTGTTTTTTTGGTACACCAGAACAATCTATCGAGCTCTACCTAGCACTCACAACCCAGGTCAAAACTGCCTCTGTTGGTTGAGAGCTTCATAGATTGGGTTTCTATATCCAAGCAGCCACAAACCAGACAAAGATCATCACTATGCGCAATGCCCACCATCGATTGGAGTGGTGTGAAGCACAGCGCCATTGCACTTAATAGAAGCACATTCTATGGAGTTATCAATTGCGCTTCCATCTGGAAGTCTCATGGATGAATCTGGGTTTGGTGGATGGCAGCTCTAGCCCAAACCATGTTTGGGATAGAGCCCAAACCATGTTGATGTTATCCATAAGGTTGGTATGGTGTGGTGGGTAACACCTCTGCCCTCTACGCTGTAGACTGAGGTTTGGTCCCCTTGCTGGGCAAGCACCCTACACTATACCAATAAGAGTCCTCGGGCAAGACTGCTAACACTCTTTTCTCCTACCTGTAAAAAAAAAAAAAATGACCACATTGTAAGTTGCTCTGGATAAGAGCGTCTGCCAAATACCATAAATATAAATGTCACGAATGAAAAACTTTGGCAACAAATTGTGTTATCAATTAGTTGTCATGATGACATTTGTGTGCACATTTACATCACTTGAATGAGAGCAGCGGAGACTACAGTACAGGGTTTATGCATGATTTATCTAGATAAAACATGTTCATGACAGAAAAGCTCAGTGTGGTGAAAAACTGCTAAAACCACAGTAAAAGTGTAGTCAGAAGTTAAAAACAGTGTGGGTTCTATTTTGGTTTTGCAAAATAAACACAGTTGGCTGAAGGGATGAGCTGCATGGCTAAATTATACTTATTTGTTGCAGATGCTTACAGATCTGCATTTCCACATGGATGCAGATTTTTTAAACGCTTTTTTTATTTTTTATTTTTTTTTTATTTTGGCTTCCTGCCTGCACAAAAACACTGTTTTAGGTTGCTGAGGCTTTGGAAAATACTTTCCAGGGTGGAGATTTCAAAAATTCTGTTTTGAGTGTTTTAATGTGTGTTACGACAGCAAAGCATATTGATGCTCAAAATTAAAAAAAAAAAAGGTGCATTGTTTGTGTGTCCACATACTTTCGGCAATGTAGTGTACAGTAGTCTGTAGTATAATTTTTAGAGAATCTGGATTCCAACCTTCTGTAACTCTGAAATATTTTTGCAGGGTTTTATGCCCCCCATGCTGGTGTTTGTACAGTCCATTGAACGAGCCCGAGAGTTGTTCCATGAGTTGGTGTACGAGGGCATTAATGTGGACGTAATCCATGCTGACCGCACACAACAACAGGTTTGTTAAAAGAAAAGAACAATGAGTGATATTGTTTCTGAAAAGCCTTACAGGAACTGGGATGAGCAAGATTTCAGTAAAAGTTGCTGTGGATCATAACCATTTTGTTTATCAGTAACGAACTTTAAGAAGTTAACAGTTAAATTTCAGATTGTTTTGTTTGCCCTTAATAGTTCTGCGAAGTATTTCAATATTTATTTTTGTCAACTGATTGCACAGCTTGTTAATTAGTCTGGACATTTTTAGCTGAAATCTGAGAATGCTTGCATATGTTACAAGATAAATCCTAAAAGAATCGTAAACAAAACAGTATATGGCTACTTTTATTATTTCTCATAGTTTTTTACATTTCTCTAATGTTTAGAAGTCCTGAGTTGTTGTTTTGCTATGCGCTGGATTTATTTGTATGCAATTGGACAATTACAATGTAATTACATTGTAATTAAGTTGATTTACATTTACTCTACATTTGACATCTCCATCTCTGACTTTTTGTTGATGTCAAATTACAAAAACATGGCAATAATATTTGGTCGTTTTTTTTCTTCAAAACATATTGAAATCATAAAATTGATGCTCTTCTCCAAACATTCAGTGTTTTGATGGACTTTTTTTTGGCATTTTGAATATGATGTGTTTGTGTTAATCTGTAATTACTGAGGCATTGAAGGGTTAAAGGAACATCTACCTATTTTGTGAAACTCAGGAAACATTTGCATTCATTTCAAACATAGACAAATACTTGGCTTTAATTAAATTGCCACTGTTGACCAAAGCATGCATTCATAGTTTTCTCTGTGTAAAATGGTTTCACAAAAATGTTCTAGCTTCATTTAAAAATGACAGCCCTGGGAAATAAAACAGTAACACCAGATTTAGAAACCAAACTTTTTCATATGCATAATAATAATAATAATAATAATAATAATAATAATGCCTGTTTATAGTGTTTTTGCCGAAATTATGATGCAGATCTGTTTCTCAGTCTAGCATTGCCTGCAAAGGCTTGAACAATTTCTACTTCAGTACGCTAGGTGGCGATATGCATCTTTTGCTCACAAGGCAAGGAGGAGTCAAAAGTTAGGAGCCTTTTTGAATTTTAAATTGAGCTTTAAGGAATGCACAATAATGATCATTATATGAATTGATAAAGAAAAAATACAGTGTAATAACATTTTTGTCCAGGTCCTGCTGTGGAATTGAGCAAAACTTGTACTGTAAGCTTATTGTTTTAACGTTTACCATATTTAAAATGTAGCATTAGGTACACAAGTTTAGCATTAGGTACACAGTTTAATAATGTACAGTTTGTTATACTCATGTAGGCTAACATCTTTTCTGATGTTTTTTCTCTCTTTGTGACCAGAGGGATAACGTAATAAGCAGTTTCCGCTCTGGTAAGATCTGGGTGCTGATCTGCACGGCTCTAATGGCCCGAGGTATCGACTTCAAAGGGGTCAACTTGGTCGTCAATTATGACTTTCCCACCAGCGCTGTGGAGTACATCCACCGGATAGGTCAGTCCCTACAGGTTAATCTGTCCACTGCCATATTTATATCAGCTGCAGTTCTTCTGTAAAAGGACGTAGTTAACTTCTATTCTTCTTTATGATTTCATCCTTCTGTAGGCCGCACAGGAAGAGCAGGCCATAAGGGGAAAGCCATTACATTTTTCACAGAAGCTGACAAACCTCTTTTGCGCAGGTAACAGTATGACTAACATAGTGTGAATGACTAGCAACGCGTTAGGGAAGATTCATGTTTATGCTGATCTGCCTCACTTGTACTTTCGTTTTTCCCCTGTTTTTATCCTCAGCATTGCCACAGTAATAAAACAAGCTGGATGTCCTGTGCCTGACTACATGATTGGATTCAAGAAAATAAAAAGGTGCCCCCCCAGTCCTTCCTTCCTTCCTTCCTTTCTTCTATCTTCCCTCATAACTGTTTTTCAGCCCCTCCTCCCTTTTTCATTTTTTTTGCCAACTAAGAATGTAAGAAAACCAAGTCTGGTATCTCTTCTCCAAAACATTGTTTCTAAAGGGAAGTGGGCATCGAGACTGTGATCAAGTGTCTCATGTTTCTATGATTTTAATATAACTTTCATCTCCACAGCAAAGTCAAACGGCAGCTTGAGAAGAAGCCACCAAGGAGGTCAACAATCCGCACAATGCCTCGCTTTCTCATCAAAAAGAAACCTGACAAGCGGAAAAGGTATAACTCTCAGTCTTACTAACTACACAGTTCCTGTATGAAGCATGATGTAAGCTTGAAGTGGAATTGCCAGTCAAATTTAAATGCAGCTGTTGTACTGAAATGTGATGTACACCTTTTATTTATCTGTTTTTCAGAAAAGAAAGAAAAGTTGAGGCACACTCGAAAGCAAATGGAGTAAAACCAGAAGAAAGTACAAATAACTGAAATGGGGAAATTGTGTCATATGTGTGTGTGTAAAAATTGTGAATTCTTTTCTGCCTGACCTCTGTTTCTAATAAAATTCAACAACTTACAAACAAATGTTTGATTTTTTTGTTTATTTCTATAGCAGGGTACTCATTGCTGATGCACCAGTTAAGCTAGTAGAAATGTACAAACTGCAAATGTGGTTCTAGGTAATAAGAATAACAGCCTTAGCTTTCCTACCGGTTTTGCATTTTCCGGTGTGCGCCTCGTTTCGGCGTATGCAAATACTTTGTGTGGTTGTGGTTTTATGGGGTGGTGCATATATTAGTGTTTCAGAGTACATGTTTAATCTCTCACTGTATCAGTTTGACTGCAGCTTACAAGTTGCTGTATCTTACTCAGGCAGCTTTATTTTGCTGAGTAATGTATCGTTGAATTCTTTTGAGAACTTCAGATTTTTTTATCATTAGTTTCTTAAATGAAGGGACTACCTGATACATGGACATTTTGGCAGCTTCTCCTAAGACCGTCTGAGGGTTTGGAGTCTCGGTTCTTGTCTCAGTGATCAGTTCCAGATGGCTGAAGAGGCTGATCGGTAATTTTTATGTGATTAACCAAATTATTGTGTAGATTGGCTGTGATTTCAGGGCAAGAATCTTGGGTTATTTGTGCCAAATTGCTTTACAGTGTATCAATTTTCAGTAGTAATTCAGACAAATTCAGCTTTGTGTAAACTGAAAGTGTTTCTCTAAAACTTGAAGTAAACTTGTTCAGAGTTAAACTGTACTAATACAATTTTAATGAACATGAAAATCGTAAGACAAACCTTGTTTTGGGGGGTTTTGATAGGCGGCGCTGTCTGTAGCCTGCATTTCCTCTCTGGAGTGAAATTCTGTGGTGGTGTGCAAGCGAGATGGTAGGATATTTCTAAAATGGATCAAATTTGTAGAAGTACATATTTTTAGCATCAACAGTGTATTATGAATGCCCATTTTAATTCATAACATTCATGTCGTTAGTCTAATACTCGAGTGACATATATCTGTTAAAGTGATCGGCAGCAGGTCCCTTTGTTTGAAATGGGAGTTTCAAGCTTTTCTTTAAAGTCTAAATAGATTTTTATTTCTCATGTAGATGCTAAACATGAATTGTTCTGAATTTAATGTCAGTTAAATAAGTTTGATAGCTTGCAGTTGGGCCTTGTCGCTTATTTGTTGATGAAGACCGCTTTTTTTGTTGATGAAGGCTCATGTTTGCCGAAGGCCGAGGCCTGTGTGGTGCAGTGTATATAATATGAAAGTATTGAAATTCAAAATCTATAATAAAAATGCTTGCTGAGTTCTAACGTTGCTATTTTCTATCCAGATAAATCTGAGTATGGGATATAATTTTCAGTTATTACTACTATGAGTTGGGCATAACAGTGATTGGCTAGAGAACGATAACACTTAACCGTAATATACATCGTTTATTTTTGGTTGCTGTAATATGCATTTTTTAAACGCTGGCTATCTAAGGCATCTTTTAAAGGACAATGACATTAACTTTAAAATTAGCTCTTAAAATCTCGTCGAAAGAGAAATACCATCGAGTTCTCAACATTTCAACGTAACTATGTTTTAAGATGTCTACGGGGGCGATCAGAGTGGTTTGGTGTGAAATGCTCCAATCCAGAGAAACTTACCGGGTCAGAATTATTGATAGTGGTGGTGATAGGAACTAGATGTCTGAAGCAATTAATGCCTCTAAAAGCTCCCTCACAGAAAGTTACTGCACTAAATGAATGCGCTGCTTGATTCCAGAGACATTGCTTTATGATAGTTTTGACATTTTTAAAAAATCCTTTACATGCATTGCATTCTAAGGCAAGACAGTAACCAAAGATTTTTTTCCCCCAAATTTACTACTATTTTACTGTCATTAAGATTACATATAAGAATTCATAAGACGTGCAGATTTATTGCATAGCAAATTTAACATCTACAATTGAACTGTTGATGTTACAACCACTGGTTTCTATTACCACCACTGTAAAGAAATCTGAGTTCAGAAAGTTCCTTTTTGATGCACCATTTCACATCAAATCAGTGAAAATCTGCTTTAAAAATTTTAATTTTTTATGCTGCACATAACTGACAGGTTATATGGTGCTACTAGAATAATACAGAGATATTTTGATGTATTAATATGCTCTGCGCCAATTTACGCAGATTCATTGTTGTTTTATTGAATACAGAAATACACTGACCGGCCACTTCAGTAAGCATCCTGTTCTTCAATGGTCTGGACGACCCAGGACCACCATAGAGCAGTAACACTGACGTGGTGGTGTTGCGTTAGTGTGTGTTGTGCTGATACAAGTGGATCAGACACAGCAGTGCTGCTAGAGTTTTTAAACACTGTGTCCACTCACTGTCCACTCTATTAGACACTCCTACCTTGTCAGTCCACCTCGTAGATGTAAAGTCAGAGACGATAGCTCATCTGCTGCTGCACAGTTTGTGTTGGTCATCCTCTAGTCTTTCATCAGTGGTCACAGGACGCTGCCCACAGGACGCTGTCATCTGGATATTTTTAGTTGGTGGACTATTCTCAGTCCAGCAGTGACACTGAGGTGTTTAAAAACTCCAGCAGCACTTCTGTGTCTGATCCACTCAGACCAGCACAACACACACTAACACACCACCACGTCAGTGTTACTGCAGTGCTGAGAATGATACACCACTCAAATAGTACCTGCTCTGTGAGGGTCCATGGGGGTCCTGACCACTGAAGAACAGGGTAAAAGGGGGCTAACAAAGCATGCAGAGAAACAGATGGACTACAGTCTGTAATTGTAGAACTACAAAGTGCACCTATATAGTAAGTGGAGCTGATAAAATGGACAGTGAGTGTAGAAACAAGGAGGTGTACTTAATGAAGCGGCCAGTCAAATCAAATACTGCGTGTTAACAGTGTTGTTAGTGTAGTCTAATGAAATAAATGTTGCTTTTTAATTTAGGGCACCGATAATTCTAAAAACGGCCTGAAGATAAACTCAGCAGAGAGACCAGACACTGACTGTGCCGGTTATCTGGTGGGACAAGAGAAGGTACTGTGCTTTACCTTTGCAGTTCTGGACTTGTTTATGATGTATCCAGTATTATTATATCCACAGCACAGACAGACAGACATGTTGTGTTGATGTTCTGAGTGAAGATAAATCATCCTCTACATCAAGCATGCTCGGTCCTGGTCCTGGAGATCTATCACCCAACAGAGTTCAGATACAACACACCTGTCTCTAATATTCAGAAGCTCCTGATGGCCTTCAGTACCTGGGTTAAGAGTGTTAGATCAAGGTTGGAGCTAAACTCAGTAGGGTGGAAGACCTTCAGGACCAGGATTGAGTACCACTGCTCTACGGGGAAAAAATGTTAATATATAATGTGACATATTTGAAAAACATTAAATAAAAAATGTACCATAACTTGAGCACAGGCCACGTTTTATGCCCCCCCCCCTAAAGAATGTTAAATTCGGCAATAACAATAAACAGTAATTGTGCATTCAAATGTGCAGAAGTGTGTTCTCTGGAAAAGATGTCACTTATTTTTATTTAGAAAATCAACACAGTGCTGTTTCACAAGGGGCACCAAAACCTTTGTACACAACAGCAGGTTGATTGATTGATTGATTGATTGATTGACCTGTCCCACACACTGACCATAAAATACCTAAAAAACAATACAAACAATACACACAGACAAAGAAGAACATGGCCATTTATAACAGCTCCTTAAAAAAATACCTGTTTATCTGAAAAGTTAACTGTTGTTGGATTTTAGCTGAAACTTAGTATTGACTGATTCACCTGGAACTCACATGGTAATTTGATAGATATTAAACAGTCTGATTTTTTCCTTGCTTATTTTCTTTTAGGTCCCAACTCAGTGTGTGGGAAACCCAGAGGGACATGGGTATGTGGTGATATATGAGGATAAAACCTTCACCATGACTAAACAACCTCCAGTAAGTGTCCTTTAGTGTGACAGCAGCATTCCTAACACAAGATGGCTGTTGCTAAGTGTTGGGTGTAAAGTTTTTTTTTTTGTCCGCTTTCCTTTTTTTTGCTATAGGCAGAAGAGGACTTGGATCTAATCATCATGGAGCTATGATGAGGTGAGATTTGAGACTGTTGACACAAAAGTGCTGTCCTTTTTTAAACAAAAAGAAGCATTTCAACACTCAGGGCCAGATTTATTAAAGCTGCCTATGTAAAATTGAAAGAAGCAGCATTGCTGAGTGAGGACATCTAAAACACATTGTGTGTGTGCTGCTGTGAGACCCGCAAAGCCTGAAATAATAGTGGTTAGGGTCAGATTTTAATGGAGCTTTTTGTACCACATCAAATGTCTTTCGTATTATTGTCACTTGCACAGGCTCAGCTCTGGCACAACAATGAAGACATAATGACAATAGTAGATAATTCACTTACATCCTTGGGAAAACACTTCCTTCAGCAAGTATTTGATGTGTTGGTGGAAAAGAACATCCACTGTTTGGTTCAGTATTTTTGGGCTTGGTGCAAATTTTTCATTTAGATATTGGTTATTTAGACTCAGGAAATCTTCAACATTGTAATTTTTATATCCACCATATCATTGCTGTCATGCAAAAACCTTGTATCTCCATTTTTTCAATTTTTACTTATGACGAATGGACCAATATAAATGGTCCAAACTACTTTAAAAAAATCTTGTCACATTAACGTCCATTAAAGGTTAATAATCCTTCTCCTGTAAAGTTATGATTTTTGAGTTTCATTCTGACAGGAATGATGAGGACAGCTCAGCTGACATTCCTCCACACCTCACAGCTTCTTATCTATAGTCAATCCACACTGACTGTTGAATCATCTATCAGGGGTGTCAAGTCTTATCCACAAAGGGCTGGTGTGGCTGTGGGCTTTCATTCCATCAAAGCAGAAGCTCACCTAATCAATCGTTCGAAGACGTAGACTAACTGATTAAACAAGTGGAATCTTATGTGCTTCTGCTTTGTTGGACTGAAAACCTGCAGCCGCGCCAGCCCTTTGCAGATAAGATTGGACACATCTGCTCTAGATGGTCTGGGGCTTGACTTAACCTAACCTCTGAGCCTTTGATAGAACTGTATAAATTCCATGTGTCTTGCTAGAGGTTGCACAGACTAATTGAATTGTCGACTTCACTGCTTGGCGATGATGCTTCAAGCTTGATGTCGACTAGTCCCTGATCACATGTTTGACACCATGGACACCTCAGAAAAGTCAACAGTTGAGGAGCCTGGTGACTTCAGGGACTGTATCTCCGTTTTCCTGAAGGCTAGCAGTCCAGGGCTCGTTATAAAGGGCACATGATTCTCTACTGACCTGTGAAGTTTGTCTTCATTCTAACATTTCTTTGTCGATCTGCAGTACTTCAAAGATCAGATATTGAACAACGTTTTCTCAGTTTCCCAAAGACTACAGTAAAAATTCATGGTCGTTGGAGAGGGGGGAGCAATGCCCTATAATCCTTAATCGTTTACTCTTATTTTCGCCAAGTTATGGCGCTCTAAATTTCTCTGACTCTCTGGACCTCCGCGGGGATAAAGTGTCTCGGCCATGGAGCGCCTAAGTCAGATACAAATTTACAAGATTCCCAGGTCTGCATCCCCGGTTCCCTGAAGGCTAGCAATGTGATCCATTGCTCGTTGGAAAGGACATGTCACACTCTACTGACCTGTGGAGTTTGGCTTCGTCACAGAGTCAGGATTTTGAAAATCACTTGTTGCAAAGCATTCCTTTCTCCTGTGGTTTTATTCATGATAGCATCAATGGTTAGTCAGCCCCTAGTCTGAAACCTTCATGGCCAGTAGTTTCTGCAAATAAACAACATTTTCATCAGTCTAAGAACTGTCTGAGGTTAATGTTTAATTGCACTCTTACACTGCTTTTTAAATACTGCCTGGCACCAGTAGTTGGCACTCCTGTGCATAGTTTACATGATTAACTATAGCACTAAATGTTGATTTTAGGTGCATTATGAGTGCATACTGCAGCTACATCATGACACATTTTGCGCTATGCCTTCTCATGCATGTACATACATCTAGCCCTCAATATGTACCAATTTGTACCATTCTGAAATCTTGTTTGTGCTGTGCAAGGAAATACTAGAATTCTATACAACTACTGTACTTTGTTTGTTTGTTTGTTTTTTCAGATGGCCGACACTTGTTCCCAAAACAGTGGCTACATTGAAAGAAAGGCAAATAAAAATTTTCATTATGACTTGACTTGTTATTTATTTGTGAATGTGAAACGATGTGAATTTTAGTCATTATCAGTTGCCACCCACTAGCTCCCCCATAGCATTATCATACCAACCAGGGTGGGTGGTTTGTGTTTCCTCTAAGATATGTGAAGCCAGTCATCCTACCTTTGTACAGTCATTGGACAGCTGTTTACAGTTTGCACACCCCTGGCCAAATTACATATTTTGTTGGCTTTTGAAGTGAAAAGAAGTAAACACAATCTCTGCAGCAAACTATTTAAAAAATAGCAATTCCAGTATGTGGAAAAGTTTGTACACCCTTCCTGTTGTTAAGAACTTAACTCTTTAGGCCTTAATTGACTTGTGAGAATTGGTTAGGCAAGTCAAGAACTGTCAAAGCTAACTGATGGGGAGGGCTATAAAAAGATTTCAAAGTGCCTCCAGCTCACAGTTTCCACTGTCTAAAATGTCCTTAAGAAAGTCTCAAAGATGAAGAAAACTCTCTGATAGAACTGACACAATTGTGATGGTGCACCATTTTACTGTACTGTGATGCTTATATCTGCATGGAACAGTCAGTGAAAAATAACCCAAGAATATCACAGAACTAGAAGCATTTGCAAGCGAGACTGAGTGAAAATACAGAGTATAGAAACAGAGAACTTGTGGGAAGCAGAGAATACAGAGCCAAAGAGAATCCTTACTTCATAATAATGTTAAACAGCGGCACCTGTTCGTTTAACTTTTATCAGGAAACTTTATGCCAAAATGCTCAATGGGTGCAGTTTACACAAAGAAATTTCAGGAATCTCACATGAGGACAAAGAACAGAACAATACACACGTATATACTGGATAACATTACAGAAATTGGAATAATGAAAGAAATGAGTGTATGTGACTGTATGTAAAATTCCATCATATTTGACAATACTCATAATATTAACTTCATTATACTTATTGATACTTAACTGATGATTATATTTGATGCTCTGAAAGCTTATTTAACCCATGAATACTATATGAATAAGTTTTATTACACACTCCTATAACCTAAGAATAGCTCGACCAGTTTGCATTAACGTCCATGTGGTTAATGAATAATAAACGTTATCATCATTATCATCATTACTTTTTATTTCCCATGCTCAAGGATGGTTTACACAATTAGAAAGTTCCAAAATGCATAATCAACAATAAATAAACAACACAAAACACACACACTCCACGGTTCCCACAGCTAGCGAGAGTCCACTGACAACGGTAGTCACTTTTGCTAACCCAGAAAGAAACCTTAACTCCGGGAGAAAGTCTCACTTCGCAACTATTGTGCATCACACAGAAGGCCGGCCCAGGAAGCCTCAAAGGCCGAAAATGTCCTCAGCCATGAAGGGGTAGCATTTTCCTGCAGCAGAACACTACCAGTCCAGGCAGCCTCATAGCTGCAATGCAGCATCATCCAGGTGGCTGGGCCAGGCAGCCATGTAGCTGCAATGTAGCGTCGATCAGGTCCCAGGTTCAGAAAGCCTCGTAGCTGCAATACGGCATCACTCAAGCGGCTGGTCCAGGCTGCATCATAGCTGTGATGTAGCATCATCAAACGGCCAGCCCAAAAAGCCACTGAGCCATGGGTGGAAAATCGCTCTTGATTGCTATCACAGTGGATATGATGGTAAACTTCTCAGCCAGCAGGGAAACATCAAAACATACACACAAACAATACAAAACAAATGAAAACGATATAAAGTGGCAACCATATTGCACCAGTGTACTTACAATAGAACACACATGCACACAAGCCTTAGTATGTAATAATCTTAAGGGGTTAAAATTGAAAACTTTCAAACATTACATTCAACATTTTGTTGATTTTCTAAGTTTTGATTTTGTTGATTTTCTGTTTTGTTGATTTTCTAAATTAGTACACATCCTTTACAGAGAGCACACTTATGCACATTTTAAATAAACTCTTCCTTTATATTTGCTGAGTTTAAAATCATAAAAAAGCATGAATGTGGCCTGTGCAAGTTATGGCACATTTAATTATAATAAAATTATAAAAATAATAAAATAATAAAATTAATGACTGGAATGAAGGTGCACCAGTCTCTACATACAACAGGCCTGTATGTGAGGGTGGTTAGAAAGAAGGCATTACTGAAGAAAGAACACATCAAAGCACATCTGGATTTTATCAGAAAACATCAGTGTGACCCAGCTAAAATAAAGGATAAGGGTTTCTGGGCAGATGAGACAAAAATTGAGGTTTTTGGCCAATATTTTTAAAAGCTATGTGTGGCACAAACCTAACATTGCCCATTCCTCAAAAAAAGCCATAACAGCTTCCGGACTGTTCATGATTTGTTAATTACACAGTTATTACACAGCTTATATGTGTTTTGTAAACCAATATTAATATATTTATTAATGATGAATAATTCTAAATACCTGAGCAGTTCCTAATTAGCTAATTGTGAACAAAAAGCTAACAGATGTCTTAAACTAATGATACCAAATATTCAGTCCATAGCAAGTACACCTCTCTTTGTAAATTATTATAATACAATTATTATAATAGCTGTCTTTGTTTGTCATGGCTGACAGCACTTACCTGGCTAAGACTATTTGCTAGAGGCTCATTTGATGGATAAACCCATCAGCTGTAAAGACATATACAGGAGTTTCAGCTGATAAACAAATAATTGGACCATTATGTCCAATCGGATGCAACTGCATTCAGTTCCAAAGTAAAATTTTATGGTAGTCTGAAACTATATGTTGAGATTTTAATATGACTCATCATCCAGCTGCTGTGTCACATCACTAAATCGATGCTACAAATGACACACTCCCATAAGAAATGACTAATTGCCCTTTCGCTCACCATCTTACCGTACATTCACATGTTCTAACATGATTGTACAATAAGATGGAAAGAAAAGAGTAAGGTAAGTAAAAACAACTTAAAGTAAAGGCCAGTCTCAATCAGTCTCCAAACCTGTATACTGTAGAATTTGCATGGAATGAACTATAGGAGACAATTTAAAGAAATCTAGTACAACAATATGATGCTTGGTGTGGCACTGGCTAAAATGAAGAGGGACAGTCCAGTAGCAATTAGCAATCACTGGGTAATGACTGCCATTTGCCATCGATATACAGGGTGTCCCAAAAACTTTGACATCATTTGAGATGTCAAAATGTGAACGTGGTGGCCATTTCAACAGCACTTGGTTGACTTGGTTAGTTTTTACACATTTTGTTAAAATTTGAGATCATTTGAGGGAGAATTGGCTATGTTATTAGATTATGAAATGATGTCAATTTTTGTGGGACGCCCTGTACTCTCTTCCTATTCCCTGTAGTTTGTTGGAGACCATGATGAGTGGCCATGTTTCTGTTAGAGGCCATACCAGCCTAAGCCTGAAATACCTGAGAGCAAAGTGCTTGCAATGTGAGCCTGATCGGAATTTCAGTCTGGCCTGCAGGCCAACTTTTTTACTTTCATTGTAACCATCTGACCAGCTTTGATGGACTATTTTCACCTTGTTCTTTCTCTGAAACTTGCCACAAACAGGAACAATTCAAGTTAAAGAACATTTGTGGTTTAAATCGCATGCGAAAAAGTGAGGCATGTTCCCTTCTTGTGAAAAAACATATCTGAGACTAAGTGGGAAATCTATAAAGTTGTTACTAGCTGGACAACAATGATAATGATAGCAAGACACCTAGTGTTTAGTTACCTGGGTCTTATGTGGAAGGAAGGCAAATGAGATTATCAATTTAGGGCCTTTATATCTATCTCATTATAGTCTTCGTTACCAGACATCTCTGTCTCCTTTGATAAGATGTATATGTATTCAACTGTTTTCCCTTAAAAATGATCTAATGATGTAAAAGAGACCCTGATCCCCTCTCTCTCTCAGATGCTTCTCTCAGGTGTGATACAGATTTGGTCTCTTCTTAATCTCTAGTGATCCTGAGGGGCCTTTATGAGAAATAAAGTCTTAAATGAGCCCAAGATGAAAAATAAGAAAAATATTATGATGAGCAACTTGTTTTTCCATTGTTGGGGTGAGTGACAACTGTGCTGAATGTCCCGTGATGAATTAGGAATGATTGACTCATAAGTCTGGTAGCACAACGTGCTGCATCAAGCAGTTGTGGTTAACAATATAATGCTTTGCAGCCGCCACCTCTGGAGCAACCTCGATGACAAAGGATGTGGGTTGTGATATAAAACGTTTGCGCTCCGCCTTTTCTTCTCAATCTGACACACACCGCCTCTTTTCCAAGAATTCTGTTCTTCTTCTCTGAATATAAATTGTGCTCATTTTTTGTTAGGATGCCATTTACTATCTATACCATTTTCTTCTGTTGTACACTGGACTTCTGGAAACATAACAAGAATATGACCAAAAGGATGATTTTTTTGTAATTCCCACCTGCTGTCCTTGAAGGATTTCTACAGAGGTAAATTTAATTTGTTTCTTATATTAAATGTGCTAGTGTGGAGGCAACGGGCTTCCAGTAACTTAATTATGATTGCTCTGGATTTTTATTCTTTATTTTGATATCAATTTTAATGTCAGCATAACAGTGGGTTGGCAAACATTTGAAAAGATGTTAAACTGGTTTGGTAAATTTATGTTACAATTTTATGTTTACAGGAGTTTTGATTGTTCTATCCTGGAGCTTAATTATGCTGTCACTCATGAATGTTTTCTGCCAGTTTTTTTAAAGTACATGTATATGTTTATATATAAAATTGCTTGCAGTGCAGGCAGGGCAATCACATTGGCGCCTAGAGCATGGGGGGTCCTGAGGCAACTGGCTCTCCTAGCGTGTTAACTTGCCGCCTTATATTGCTACTTACACAATGTTACACCCATGATTAATGGGTAGCTACAATAATTAGACACTTAAACCATTAGCCTACATTACAGCACCAACTGTTTTGAGATGAGTATACAAGCAAAATATGATGCTTTTTTTTATGGGCTGTTAAGGGATATGTATTAAAATGTATTATTACTTTGCATCTTGGATGCCATACGTTGTTTTAAGTCTATTTAGTAATTTGCTGAATCAGTAAGTTCTGAAATGTGAGTGTTTGCACATTATAAATGTACGTTTTGCGAGTTCAGACATCGTCAATGTGTGGTTGTAGAATGAGAAGAGACTGTAAGACTGTAGAAGAGGAGAGAACTCGGAAAATGTGGGTTGGAGTTCTGGGTGACTTTTGCTTTATGCTTGAAGACCAGATCTCATCCTCGGCGATCAGAGATAGCACTGAGAAATGAGGAGAAGACAGGGAGCTGGTGGGGTTTGAAAACTTCACAGGAAATAGCAGAGAGAGACGGAAGTTACGTAGGAAGTTGGGAGGAGCTTGAGGAGTGGACCTAGTCACAATCTTCTTTTATTTTACTCGCCATTTTGGTTGTTTTAGTCGGTGTTTTCTTGAAACATTGTTGTTCTTAATCTGTTGATTCAGTACGATTTGCACTGGAGCAATGGTAAAGTGTTCATTGATCATTTTTTCTAAAATAACTGTCTAAAGTAATTGTGAGATTAAGTGTATGTCAAGCGTTTGACACGTATATTATTACATCAATGCATTTCCTGAATGTAGTGGAGTGACTGGTAACCAAGTTTTAGACGAGACTATTTTCTAGACTATTATTTTCTGTGATAAGCAAATGTTTACAATTTTTTGTTTACAAACGTTCCAGAGAAGAAGACTTATGTCTGGGTTACCGCTGATGTTTTCAACAATACTCATGAAAGGTTCGATGGTGACTCTTTAACAGGAAACATAAAAGCTTCACATTACAAAAAAAAAGTTTGGTAATGCTGAGATCACGGTTGTAATGCTAAGAACTTTAGCTTAGCCTTTAGCTCTCGCTTTTACTGACATTTGTGAAATAAACTGTTTCCAGTTTCAGCTCCCAAGAGCATCGTAGCGTAGACTTTGATTATTGGATTGATGGAATTACATTAGTATGTTGGATGGTGCTTTAAAGCATGGATTGAGCCGTGGTTGGTCAGTCATACTCGTTTCCATCGAACCACTGCAAAATGAGAAGAGAGTAAATGCACTGGGGGCAACAAAGAACATCTACCAACCATTTCTGATAATAGAACCCAAGCCAAGCAGCTTCACATTACAGCTGTAACGTTTTTAGTTTGGTTGTGGTGAGATCAGGAGCGTAGATATTACACTAATACCTCGATTAGTGTTGTTAAGCATGGATGTGGATCATGTTTTCATAACTGTGCAGATCTGGACTTCTCTCCTGTGTGTGACACACCAAATAAATATAAAAAGGTCACTATTTTCTCTCACCATTAGTCCTAGCCAGTTTCCATTGGTCTTATTCGTGCTAGAAACTGGCTGGGGCTGCGTAGCGTACTGCCAAGGGTTCGGACATTTTCTAGAGTGTCTCGTTCTCAAAATCGTTCCAGTGCTTTAGACCTTTCATTCAATGACAGTTCCCACAATGCTCTTTAAAAACCAGTGAGCATTGACTGTTCGCTTTGCTCAGTGACCGGAAACAGTGTCATGTCTTCAGCTCAACTTTCAGAAAGGTTTAAAATGGAGGGTTGGGGGATCAGTTTTCTATTAACTTATACTAAATGCTTATAGCTAACCAGTTGCACATGCCATATGTCACAAATGTTGCACTTTTCACGAACAAAATATGGCATTAAAGTAGGCTGACCTGCTAAAAGGCACACCACTAACAGGCTCAGTAGGGCCATTCAGAAATATTCAGTTACAGGGTTTAGGTTGAAATCTTTACTGAAAGGTTCAGATTAAATGTTACTCACATGTTATCTGAATATCTATTCAGTCATCACTTGTCTGTTTTAGCTACAGTTGCCATGAATTGCTTTGGTAAATCATGCTTAGCTTGCCGCAAGAAATGCTATTGGAAAATTAGCTTTATGCTCAATATGTTAAGTGAATGAAGAAAGGATTAATGGCATTAAATACTAGTATGTGTGACTGACACATAGCGATATCTGGGTCTCAGTGCAAACAAAATGAAAATGTTAACTAGAATATTCCATCCTAAAAAGGACAGTATGGTTAAGCACAGGACAGTGGATGAGCTTCCCAGTTGATGGTACTGCATTGCAGTGTACTGTCTCCGCATCCATGTCACATGCAATTGAGTCTTCAGTATCCCAGCAGGGACCTAGCCAGTGCCTATGCACTATGTACTCACTACATACAGGTATGTGAATCAAGACACAGCCTGGGAATTTTGAGGAGAATTCCTACATGACCAAATGTAGATGTGCAGTCAAGGCAGATGAATGATCAGCTTTATAAACCACACCTTTTACGCTAAAACATCATCAGAAAACAAATAATGTCCATTGTTGAACACTGCTAGAGAATAGACTTATAAGCTTGATACATTTAGCAAAACTTTGCATGATCCGAAGGCAATTCTGTTTAAAGATGCATCAATTTGAGGATATAACGTTTGTTATAAAGTTCTCTATCTTTGGCCCTCAACATTGCCCCTTGCACTTTCACTGCTCTGACAAATTTGCTATTTATCAAGCATACAAGGTATCTAATGATCATCTGGTCAGTTGAATCAGGTATGTTGATTCTACACAGTACACAAGATCAGCAAGACAGACTGAAACTAAGTTTTGCTTCAATATTTTTCAGATCCAAGAAGAAGACAGCGCAAGGATCCTCCTAGAGGAGAATGGAAATGTGTATGTCATCAATACCCCTAGGGTATGTTGCCTACATAGTGGCATTAGAAACAGTATGGTTAGATTTTATTTATCAGTCATGATGCTGAAAATATATTGTATTTGGTTTAACATTTTAGGTTTCTGTCCAATGTGAGGAAAACACCGAGGGCCAAGATGGAGAAGTCATCTTTGAGGATGGATCATATCCCATTAATAGTGTGATTAATAATCACATTCTCTCTGAAGATGAAGGTGTTTCAGTTGACATGTCTAAAGATGAAGACCTTACGGTAGAGTCTAATCATCACAGTTCAGTGAGTCAACCAAGATTAAGGGCTCAGGTTGGTGGGCGTAACCTACCTGTAGAGGTGGACAGATGGAATGAACCATCTATTATGGTAAGTGAAACATAAATAATATCATAAAGTTTGGTAGCAAATCATAAGGAACAATATGTTCATCCATATCAGTGATCAAATGATTAATTTTATTCTGAGACCAGGTCCTAACATTTAGCAAGCACTTCAGAGTAAGAACTGATCAGAGATCAGGTCTCCGCAGTCCTGTGCCATGTGTTATGTAAAAGGGATAAGCTGATCCCAGATCAGCATTCTTATTCTAAGTACTTTAATAAATACAGCCTCTGTTCTGCAGTTTTTCATAACATGGCTTAGAGAGATTAAGTTAAAAGACAACCTTCCCCAGATGCAAAAAAAGAAAAACAAGTCAAATTCGATCTTCTAACAAAATCAAGGGAAGACATTGTCATATTTCCTTGAATAACATGGACCATTTATCATTCTCTTGCAGGCCGTCTAAGCTTAAAATAAATGGAACTTTCTCACTGCTACAACGAGACACCAAGTATTTGTTTAGTAATAGAACATAATACATTTATGTCTATTAGTTTTTAAAAAAAAGGGTGGAAAAAGCTTCAGGGACAAGCATGCACTAAGACACAAAACAACAACAAGGTATTTGTCCAACAAGAAGCATTTATAACTCTAAAACAAGTTAATAGTTTTTTTAGCTTAAAGTTAATTTAAGCTAAAATAGAGTGTTTACTGACTGCAGTGGATTGTAAATAATTAAGAATCACTGATGTTAATAACATGCATGACAAAGACTGTAAAAGAGTCAGCTCAACCTAAATAAGGTAACTTATTACTGGGGTGGGTGATATGGCAAAAATATATCATGATATTTTAAGGCATTGTCTTGATACACAATATGCATCATGACCTTTAATTTTTTCTGAGGTTTAATCAGTTGGAAAAGACAAAATAGAACCTGTAGTGCTACATATAAAGTCATATGATAATAATAATAATAATAAACCTACAACTACAATAATTTTTAATCAATGTTTTACAAACTGCACTGCACTAAATACAATTAAATAGGACTAATTATAATCACTTTGTAATGAAACATTCAGTTAGCCAGTATTCTCTAAGTACTGATAATATTCACAATATATTTAGAAAAGCATATTGTGACAAATTTATAACAATAATGATATCATCATATTGCCCACCCCTACATTTTCTCCTCCTGAGCTAACAATATAGATGGCTGTGGCATCAGTGGGGTTTAAACTCCTGATAAATGTATGACATTGTGATTCTGATTCATATGCTCACAATCTCCTGATGCTGGAATGAAGGCTTAGGCCCAATCCCATTTCATCTTTTATCCCTACCACTTAGCCCTACCCCTGTGTTTTACGCATTTACACCTAGGGGTAGGGTGTCCCAAATTTTGTTTGTTATAGAAGGGTGGGGCAAAGTGTTAGAGCTACATGGCCCTTCAAATGGAGGTGTTTCAGAGGCACACTCCAAACAGAGTGTTATCAGAAATCAACACACAAATCAATAAAGTGAACAAGTTATGTTGTGTGTGTCACAAACAGGTTTATCAAACATTAACAGAATCCAAAGTCACTAACATTATGCATGCCAGCTAGCATGTTGTGTAACAAAACTAACTACAACAAAACCTGTTTGCAGTCTATTCAACATAACACAAACCAATCCATCAGCATTCCCAGGCATTGAAAACATCTTCGTTTTTGAACATTCCTCCAATTTGTTGCAGACAGCTGCAAAAAGATGCCTATTGGCACATTGGAAATTTGAAAACTCGTCATGTCTGTTTATATAAAAGTCATCAATGACTACTGATGACGTTCCAGGTTCTTGAAGGGTTGTCCCATTTTGTAGGGGAAGATTTCAACCACTACCCCTTGTAACTCAGCCACAAGGGGCAAGATGACACTCAAAAACAAGGGGTAGGGGTGAAAATAGGAAATGGGATTGGTCCTTAGTCTGTTTCACCACTTGGGAGCCCCTAAGGTTTTACAGATTCCTATGTCCAAAATCTTTAATACAATTAAAAATATTTGTTGTTTTAACTTTTTCAACTTTAAAAAGTAACATGCAGAAACAAGTTATGCCACTATCTATTAGTGGTCACCAATCCTCTTCCTGGAGATCCACTGCAGAAATTTGTTCCAAACTGCATCTAACATGCTGCCTCCTTCCCATACCGACACTAATTCCTCTGTTCCAGCCAATCAAGGACTTCTGACGGAATTAATTAGTTGGAGCAGGTGTGGCAGATTGGACCATGGGTTGTGACCAGTGTGCTAAATGTTCATCTCAGTGCAGGGGATTGTGAATTTAAACCCCTCTGAGGCTGTAGCTGTCTAGTAGGGAAAATGAGTAAAAGGCAAATTCTTTATTGTTTACATAACTGAGATGCAGAATTAAAAATGGGAATTAGGAGAACTTTTGACTAAATGAAGAAGTTTGAGAACTCAAGAAAAGCTATGTAATCAGTTCCCTTACCTTTACTTCAGAATCTGAAGTTGAGATGTTGAGTGTGGTTGAGTAAATTAGATTTTGATACATGTTAATTTTGTCAGCAGTTTTTAAGTAGTCTACAATCTATTGCGCTCGGTCTCAGCAACTTGTATTAGAGAATATTGTCACTGTTAGAACAAAATTGTAACTTTATGTGAGAAGACAAACACATCATTAGCTTATTATTAAAGTTAATGTAAGACGTCATTTTGGATCATTTCTGTTGGTTTGTTCATTGTGAAATTTAAACACAATGCAAAGGGTAACTCTAGTTTTCAATTATGTAAAAAAAGCACAAAACGGAGATATTGTTGTTCAGATTTTAGAGAGAGAAACTAAGGACAGTATTTAATTTCAAAGTTGTTATTTATATGTTTTCACTCACAGCCTGTTAAAAGAACCTCCTGTATGTTATTTTGATACATTTCAGGTCCCAGTCCAGTGTGAAGACAATCAATGGGGGCTACATGGACAAGTCGTGTTTGAAAATCTGTCATATAACATTGAATTGCGACTGCTTTTGGAACCAGCAGGTGAAGATGAGGGTGTGCATATCTCGACAGCTGAGGATGAAGATTACATGGCCTACAGCCTTATGCAGAGTTAATTAACTAAAGGATATTCTAGTTTTTGTGCCATTTATGCACATTCTATGTGCAGCACCTATAGCCTCAAAAGCTAACCATATGTGTGTAGATCTCATGAACAATGATTCCACCACTTTCAATTACAGAAATACAGTAGGCAATCCTGTTCTTATAATTTATATAAAATAATGCTTTTGTGGGGTTTAAAGCACAGAAAGTGATGTACAAAAATATATTCTAAATTCCCACATTTTAATGTGTCCTCCTGTAAAGTTACTGTTTTGGAGATACATGTTTTTCTTTGGACAGCAATAATATTATAGTTTCTATTAATTATAGACTTTTCAAGCATTACAATAGTAGACAATTTTGTAAAATACAAAAGAGGTCACCCGCCTGCAAGTGCTAAACACTAGATTGTAATATAACTGCTATTAAATGGCAAAAGAATTACAAAAAACATGGCAAAAAAATGTAAACGTGTTTTCTTCTTTCTGCAGAACAAGACTGTACACACAACAATAACGTTTCATTAAATTTCTATTCTTCTCTTCCACATACAAACACGAATGGTATTGACTGAACATTTAGAATTCACATTTTTGGCAGAATTTCTTAATCCAAAGAGCCGTGAGAATGAACATAAAATTACAACATGCTTTTGTAAGTGATAAGTGTGACATCTAAGGGTAATAAAGAAGCCAACTAAATAAAAGCAAAGAGAGGACAGTTACATGCTACCAGCATAAATCTAGATAAGTCTAATGCAAAAGCCCACTTGAGTGATCAGAGATGCAGAGCAAACTAACCACTCATTTCAGTACTGGTTTTAACCAGTCCACTTGGCATCATCATTTCCTCTCAGGGGAATCCCTGACACCATCTAAAGGGCCGTTCCATTACTTTATTAGTTAAAGTGAAGGGTGTTAGATGAGCCCTCGAAGGGACGAGGGACCAAGTGAACACCAGTTTTGACTTCAGCAGCAGAGTTTGCCCAAAAATCATTGCGACCAGATGCGTTTCCCTTTTCAAACCTAAAAAAATGATGATGGTTAAAGCTGTTTATAAGCAGTGTATATAGCAGTAAACTACATTCAACTCCTTATCATTTCAAAACCACACAATTTAATTTGCTGGGCTTTAAGTTACAAACTACTTCATCTCTTGAATGTGACTGCTGATACTTCACCACTGCCCTTTGCTAGCTGGCTAGTTAGCATGGCTAACATTTCTAACAACAACAAAAAGAAAGGCACTACCCCAAGTTTCAACACCAAGTTTATAGCCAGACAAATTAATTATTCACACACACTTTTAGTAAGTTATGCTCAAACCTCTCAAGAAAACATTTTGTATTGCAAGGTTTGCATGACTAGCTGATTAGCTCTGTGGCTAACTTAGCCGAGGGCAAGTGCATTTTGTTTGAATAATCTGCTCCTTGCTGTCCTCCACCCCCCTTCTCTTCTGCTGCGAGTGGCCACCTGTGTAACACAGATGTTACACACATTTGAGTTTTGAGAGTTAGTGGGTGAGGGCAAGTTTGAAAATGAATTAAAACAGGACTAGTCCACTTAGTCTCCACCAGTCTCCACAGAGTCCTGCTCTGTTGCTTAGGCCCAATGGGTCAGACTGTAATGCACACATGCTGAGCTGTAGGTTTATTAGTTACACACTCACCTTCACATCACACATCATTTATCACATAACTGTGGAATGACTGGAAATTAGTGACTTCAACTGTGTGTTAGAATGAGAAAAAACAAGTACTGGCTTTGAACGTAGCACTATGTAAAAGCAAATCATAACAACCTTGTTACAATTAACTATAACAGTGACTGGCAATCCTGTGGACAAAAGGCCAGACGCTAGGTGGTCTTGGTTGGTGTGTATAATAGCTGTATTTTGTACTGCCTCTGTCATTCTTCAATACACACATTAATTAGAATGCCAGCTTCTGTCTAGGGAAAACAACACTAGCATACTTAAAAACATAAACTGTAGAGCATTCTAAGCTAAAACCATTGCCAAGGCAGCCAAATACAAACATCTGCAAAGTTCCAGTTGTGCTATGCCACTGCACCCCTGGGGCTGGACTCTCAAAGCTTCATGGAGTTTACTAAACAACATTCATCGTCACATCCTTATGACGTGTTAGCCTAGGACCACTCTATGATCAGCGAGTGACCTTTCCCGATGCCTCATTCCAGCGTTGTAGTCAAGACCACAGCCAAGACCAAGTCAAGTCCAAGACAAAGACACATCGAGTCTAAGACTAGACCAAGACCATATTAGGATTTTATCAGAATATAAAAATAAAAGGAAGAAAGAGGAAAAAGCTGAAATTCTTCTGTAGTTCATATGAATTCTGAATATGCACACAGCCAAGGGGAAGAGAGTGAGGAAGCCCACATCATACGTCATTGTCTCCAGCCTAGTGTGATGGCAAGCATTATGTGTATTTTACGTTATTATTTGTTTTATATATGCATATCATTGCACAATAACCTTGTAGACCTTTGTCATTTTTTACTTATTTGCATAATTTGAAAACTCCAGTTACTTCTTAGATTGTGTCAATATGTGATCATGAATCAACAAATAGAAATGGTCACATATTGAATTCCATTCAAAGTTAAGAATGTTTTTCCCTTCTTCTGTAAAGTTACAATTTTGGAGATACACCGATCAGGCATAACATTATGACCACCTCCTTGTTTCTACGCTCATTTTCCATTTTATCAGCTCCACATCAGTGTTACTGCAGTGCTGAGAATGATCCACCACCCAAACAGTACCTGCTCTGTGAGGGTCCATGGGGGTCCTGACCACTGAAGAGCAGGATAAAAGGGGGCTAACAAAGTATGCAGAGAAACAGATGGATTATAGTCTGTAATTGTAGAACTACAAAGTGCACCTATATAGTAAGTGGAGCTGATAAAATGGACAATGAGCGTAGAAACAAGGAGGTGGTCATAATGTTATGCCTGACCGGTGTACAATGTTTTGTTCTGACAGCGATGATGTGTGCATAACATTAATGCCTGATTGCTTACGTAATGCTTATGTTATATAAATGCTATATAAAACTTCTATGGGGCACCGTTAAATCAAATGTACGTTTTATTTTGTATACATGTTTATTGTAAGTTTCAAGTAATAAAACAATGTATTATGTTCTGTTATTCACTTTTTTAACTGTGCTCTTTAAAACATAAAATGTAATTACAAAAATTACAAAATTATTCTGTTCTTTTTACTGCTATTAAGCAAAGTCAGTTTATGATAGGCTAATTTTAAGTTCCTTCCTCTATGAGTTTTAATGGCTCTTCAGTTGATTTCAGTGTGGTTTACAATAAGTTCACAATTTTGTTTAAAGATCATCAAAGTGTTTTACTGCAATCATGGCCACAGATATGACCCATTATATGACAAAATGGTGCCCCGAAATATTTTGAGAATCACAAGACAAGCCAGTTCTGACTGAGGCGAGGAAGCTACAATTGTCCTAGTGAGTTGATTGTCCTAAGTGCTTTGAACATCTGGCCCCATCTGGACCTACAATTAATTTTTTTTGCCCTGGATTTTGTAATCATTGGTACACTATATAGCCATAAGTATGTGGACACCCTTCCTAAACCTATTGGTAACAGGTGTATAAAATCAAGCACATAGCCATGCAGTCCTCACAGAAAAACACTGGCAGTAAAATGGATCACATTGAAGAGATCAATGACTTTAAATGTGGCACTGTCAGGGATGCCACCTTTGCCACAAGTCAGTTTGTACCCTGGTCATCTGTGCTATTATTGTGAAACATTGTGAAAAACAGCTCAGTCATGAAGTGGTAGATCATTGCACAGCTTTTTCATATGTTACCATAGACACACAGCTAGAAAAGCGTTTCTTCAGCTGTGAACATGCACAATAAATTCACAATAATTTGGTCTGGAATCTGTGGTCAACGTGTTTCCAATCATAAATGTACTTACTCAATTGTTCTAAGCAGAATTCTCCAAACTCTTCTGGCCATGACGATAATGGACTAACATTAAATGTTGTAAAAGGCCATGTGGCCAATGATGTGACTGCTAATAACCCTATTATGTATCTGAGTACCTGAATACCTTTTTTCATATATCATAACAGCCAAACACTCCTAGCATACCAAGCATACTTCACAATCTAGTGTCTTTCATAAGGGTAGGTGCAGTACAGCAGGCTTTCATTATTTTCATTTTATCTTGTCAGTGAGGACAGTGTCACTGTAGTCTGTTTTACTCTGTACTACTCATTGGGGATTATCATTTTATTACTTCAGGCTGGATAACTGCAGTCTCTTAATGGGTCTTGTATTCCACTCCTCAAGACACACTCCAGGACAGAAGGAGTATGAAAGGTAATGAATTTAATCATAACAATGTTCAGACAAAACAGCTTCAGACAGCTTAACAATCAGTGTCTGCCAATTACAAACAACCCACTGGTTATTAACTACTGTTAATATTTAAGGAGTGTCATTGATTTTCACTTGAGGATTTGGCATCTTGAACTTTGATGTTTTAAAAAATTTGATTCAACGTTGTGTTTAGAATGGTATATGAACTGATGTAAGAGCGGTAGATCACATGTCCTTATCACATGTCCTACCTACATTTTGTTAGGAAGCGACACGTAGACAACGCCTCAGATTTTTCGCTCTACAATATTCTTCGGTGTTTTTACTGCTGGATCTTAGAATTTTTTCACATCTGATCCTCCTGAACACCTTTAGAATGGTATGTAATCTAAAGTGATCTAAATGACTGGTTTGTTAAGAAACAATAGATAAACTGGTTTGTTGACAATCAGGCCGAGCGTCATCGAACACATCTGACGAAGTATGTTTGTATTTATCTAATGAATGCTGGAAGAGCAAAATCATTATTTCATTCACTGTAATTTTGTTGTATGTGTTGCTATAATTGTTTATAGTAGATAATTATAAAGTATAGAACTGTTGGAGTTTTTAAATTTTTCCCATAACATATAAGATCAACTACACTGCTGCTGTTGAAATTACTAAAATATTTTGCTCTCACTCATGGCTCTGTGTAAGAACATACCTATGAAGAACAAAACATATGTTGAAAACGAGCCCTTTAACTGTTAAGGCCCCATTTGTGTATTCGCCATTTTGTGACTCAACACTGTGTGACTCACAACAGCTTGTAACATAGACATGATGTCATACACTGAACACGGTGGAAGCAAAAATTTGTATGTGTTAGTTTTGGGCATCCTGGTCAAATAATATGTTTTGTTGATTTTCTAAGTGAAAAGTTCATAAATGTTCTACAGAGAACACTTGTCTGCACA